CAGGGCAGGAACGGACATGTGGACTCCCCAGCGTGGCCTGGGGAGGAGGGACAGAGGCAGCAGCATGACTGTTATTGCCGTGGATCAGCCCAGCCGGAGCCCTGCCACTCACCTCCATCATACACGCGCACTCCGGGGGCCACCCGGCGTAGCCGTACGCTGAAGGTTGCCTCTCACCAACGGAGGAACCTACCCCAGCCAGTGGGAACAGCCACTGGACGAGACCGCTCCGGTGCACGGGCCGGCGGAACCAACGCTGCCAAATCTTATAAATCCCCCTGGAAAGGGAGGAGCTCTGGCACAGCCACAGCTCAGGGCAGCAGAGTCTTGCCTTGTGACCCAGAACTCATCGGGATGACTGAAAAGTGTCAGTCAGAGCAGCCTCAAGGCTGTTTGGATGGATGGAAGGCGTAGGAAAGCCTTTGATAACACTACACACGGGAGTGCAAATTGTTTTAAGGACAAAATAGTGTAACTTCAGTCCCTAGACCAGTACAGTAGCTACTAAAAGCATATGTATTGTTAGAGATTTTTCCCAAACTCACATTTTCCAATTTAGTTTTTCAAATCCTGGTGATAGCTCAAATAGTTTTTTTTTTAAATCCAGATAAATCCATGAGCATTTCTGTCCACATTCAGCCACACTTCTGGAGCGTACGCTAGGAGCTGGAGAACCCAAGCAAGCTGTCTGATTAAATTTACCACAGCTCTGGCCCCGACAGCTCCCACGTCCATCCCCTTGCCAGGAACTCCCCCCAGCCCTCTCTTCAGCCCGCCGCTCCTCCTCTCCCTCGCTCTGGCCCCGCAGCTCCTCACGATGCCTTGTCTTGCTTCTCCACTGCTCAGAAGGAGGGTGTAGTCAGGCACCCACTCCCCCACCCTGAGGACAGAGCAGAGGCCCCAGCCCTGCTTCCAGGGTGCTGGCCCAGCCCAAATTTTAGTATTTGCGTTAAAATATTTCACATAAAAATATAGAAAAGACAGCACATTCTCAGTGTTAACTTTAAAGTCCATACTACAAGTACCTGAGGAAAAATGCAGACCTACATCATAGATGTACCTTGTACTTGCAGACCACTACGGATCCTTTCCGTCTTTTACTTTTTGTGGCAGAAGAAAGTACAGCCACAGTGAAATGGTGGCAGTTGACATCCAGCTGAGAGAGGAAAAAAATCCTTTAGCATAAAACTGAGTAGAAATCTAAAGCTTCCTTTTTTGTGAAGGTTTGTGAAGACAGTACAATTTTTGTGAAGGTTTGTGAAGACAGTGCATCATCTTTGGTACAGTCATCGATGCAGGCCACTAGAGCTTTTGCATTTTTTTAGACAACCATGCCTTTTTATTTTTGACTCATTGGCAGCTTTAGCTTCACTAGAACCCACTTTCCTAGATACGCACAGGTGACACACAAACATCTACATACACTTTCTCAACTTTAAGTACAGCCAAGATTTCTTCATCCTGTTGTCCTGGTTCAGCTAGGATAGGGTTAGCTATCCCCAGCAGAGAGAGAGGGGGAAGGATTTCCAGCCGGGTTATTCATACCATGCTGGCGTCAGGTCCAGGGGTGGAACTTTTTTTTACCTTGCTCTTTGGCGGGCTCGGTGGCGGGAACCTTTTTCCGTAACCAACTAGCGGTATTTTTCTGTATATCGTTTGTCTTGTTCATTGTTATTGCTGTTTATTGTTGTTATCTTTGCCACTGCTGCTGTTCAGATTGTTTTAGCACTCTGTTGTATTAAATTTCTTCTTATTTCAGCCCGGGGTCTGTGCTTAACTTCCAGCCCGACTGGCTACGGGTGGGGGAGGGGCAACGGCAACGTGCTCTCCGGTCCTGGCAGGGCTTAAACCTGCACACTGTATGTGCTAAGTTGACTATTTTGTTAAAGAGTACAGCAACACATCTGTCCTTGTGAACTGCCTCAGTACAAAAAAGGAATGATTTTTTCCAGGCTGTTTCTCCAAGTGGTCAAGATCTTTTAAAACTGCAGCTGTGCCACCAAACCAACTGAGGGTTCCTCCCAGATTTGGACTGTCCTTAGACTTAACAGGCACATGCTCTATTCCTCCTTCCAACAGCAAAAATACCCAACACTGTCAGACCTGGAGCCCAGCCCTGAAGATGTCCACACACACCTCACTGTTTTGATGAGGAGCCACCAAGCATCCCTGCAAGCAAAGCAGCACACGCCAGATTAGCTTCCCCTACACTGAGCAGTACTGATTTCAGTCAATGTAGATTCTGAAGCATTAAACTGAAAATTGTGTCTTGACACTTTGCCACAGTATAAATGATCCATAACTAGAACTCTACAAAAACACGGTAACACAAAATGCAAACCCACAGCAGCAATAGCTTCAGAAATATTTAGACGAGGAACAAGACAGAAAAATCAAACAGCTTCATCTCATGCACAGAAGAGCAGCAGACAGAGAAAAGGGTCAGCATTCGTAGCCATGAAAGAAGACGGGCATTCTTCCAAACCTACCTATTAAGATCTAGATACCACAATGCTACTATGGCAATACTGAGGGTAGGGAACAGCCCTGCCACTGGACATGCTATTTATGTAGTAGGACCCATAGACAGAGGGACATGTTTTTCCATAGACAACCCTGAATTTCCTGAATATTTATGTTTATCAAAAATAGCTACTGGGAACATATTGCCAAACAACATCTGGCAATAAGTGTTTGATCTGTTTGACACACCTAGATTTTCAGTAACTTGCTATTTGCTTGCTGCTGTTGCGGTCCTTCCTTCAGAAATTCTACTTGTAGCCAAGTTATTCACTCCTGGTTCAAGCATTTACCTTGGTATTGCCAGCACATTTACACAGGCAAGTAACTAAATTGCTCTTCTAAAATTATCCAAACAAAAAGTAGAGCCATGAAAAGGAATGAAAGAAAATAAAAGGAGAAATTAGGTAGCAAAAGAGCTCTGCAGGTTGACACCAGTCAACATTTCACTCTTTAAAAGCAAACAAACAACAAATCAAAACCATGACTTTTTTTTTTTGAGCTCAACCCTGTCTCAGCATATTGTCTCATCAGAGCACAAAGTGCAGATGATCCGTATGCTGATGACATTTGCATGTGATGAATGCATGTTCAGAAATAGTCCAGATCTGCAAGACTGGAATCATTTTTATGTTTTTAATAATCATAACTCAATTTTATTGACTTATACATTTGTAATTGATTAGCTTTTAAATGTAGCCTCTCCTTGGGGAAAAAATTGTGTTAAAAGACTGAAAAAAATTATGAATCAGAGCTCCCAAGCATAAAGGTGCAGTGGGGAAATTAATGGAAGTGAAGACCAACAGCAACAATATTAAGTGAGATTTGGCTATAAATCTGATCATGTACTTAAGCAACTCTCCATGCACGTATAGCTGGGTCTTCAGGCATGTGTTGTGCTGCACATACACCTTGGTCACAGGATAAACTTAGCTAATTGTGACAAAGGAGCCCACAAGCAGTTCCTGCTTGGCACTGGTGATTACACTTATTTGTCTTTATCTTACACTGAAGCAGCAGGTTCCCAAGTGAAAGCTTTCTTGTTTGACAGTAAAAGGATGAATAGAATTATTTTCTTACAAGAAAATCCTGTAAGAGCTCTAGAGACCAAGATGTCAACAAAACCTCCCCACAGACAGGAGCTGCATGACATGATGTTCCTAGCATCTGAAAGAAGGTAAGACTATACTAAGCTCTTTTTCCTGCTAGTGTTAGCTTCAATAAATGGAATTCTGATCAGTAATTTAAAGAGTCTGAGTGCCTTTCTGAGTGGAATCACAACGAATGTTAGCCCTGGTGCATGATGGTTACAAACTCCAGGCTCACAGCCTACTCCTGTTCAGGGTTCAGGGATTTCAGTTTATTATCTAGGGACTTAGACTTTTTCCATTTCACACCATAAACCCTAAAGCAATAAACTACATATCTCAGAACCCAAGCAGTCATTGGGGATTTAGTGCTTACGGATGAGATTAGATTTTTACATCCAGTGCCCTGATCAATAAATGAGTAAATAGTAAACTCTGATAAATACAGAGCCCCACAAAAAACATAACCTCTGGGTGAGAAACCACTGAAACCCACAAACTCTAAACAATGAACTACAACTCTGAGCACTCAATTTAAAGCAAGAAATGCCAAAGAATGTGTGATCAGGAAAATGGTAAAGTAAAAAGAAGATGAGAATTTTTGGCTGTAGCTTTACAAGTTTCCCCTTCATTTGGAAGGGCGGCAGAATGGGAATACACACACACCAGAAACACTTTGCTATTGCTGTTTATAGGCTTGGTTTCAGCCACCATTCCTAAGTGACCATATGTAAGAATCAATCCATAACTTGATCTACTGTATTAAACTGCACTTCCACTGAACCTACCCATAACACAAGCACTCAATCTTCATTACAGACAAATAATATTTGTGGTCCTCTCAGCTCTGTGGGCCAACATCCAGAGCCAGTGACACCTGTAACCACAAACCAGCCTCTCCTTAAGGGAAGTGGTACCTGTTGAGAGAGAGAAGTGTTTGTGACAACTGGTAACACCATTCCTGCACTCACTAACACCACTGCAAAAGCCTTTTCCTCTGACTGGTAAATCCCAGAAAATGCCTCAAAGAGTTGCCAGAACAAGGGTAAAACAAGGCAGCTGGGAAAATACTTTTTATTATTTAAAACAGACTGGGGTTTTTTAGCTTATTGCTCACATGATGAACATTTGTAGTCCAAGGTACCTAACCACTTGGCATATCAAGCAAATTCCCATTGCCAGGCTTGCACATTACTCGCCAAATGCCCAAACTTCAGTCTCCCAGACACAACTTCCAGCTCCCTCCACCCAGCAGTACCCAGACTGCAAGTCTGTCTCATCCCCAATTGGGGCACAACCACCTTCCACCCACCCAGCCTCCCTCATCTACAATGCAGCCCCAGGACTTATCTGTGCCCATGCTGCGAGTCAGAGCTTGTCCTTTGTGTCTGGCCTCATATCCCACAGGACTCCAATCTGTGATGCTCCTTCAACTGCCAGACTATGCTTCAGCACCTGCAAAAGGCCAGAACAGCTGTTACTGAGAGGCCAAGCAACTACACAGCCCTTCCAGAACTATCCAAAATCCAAGGCCCATAATTGCTCCCACAGTTACAACTGACTCTCTGTGCTGTTTCAGCCATGTTCTCTGGTTCTGCTTCATCACCAAGATGCCACAGCAGTCCTCACAGATGGCCCAGCTTGCTTGGGCACACAGTTAAGTCCAGCCTATGGCAGATGGTACTCCTCAGGGCAACTGCAGCACAGACACTGCAATGCTGGAAGCTTCTTACTTGTACACAGGTAAACGAGAAAGGAGAAATAAGCAGTCTCCACTGACCTAGCCACCCTCTCATTCAACACAAGCAGAAAATGGAAAGCAAAAGATTTCAGACTCCAAATCAACCACCCACCACTATGCCACTCTGAGAGCAAGGAAGCCAGCCAGATGTCCACCTTCCACACACAACCTATGCTTCTTCACTTAGCACAGCCCTAGCCCTTCTCTCACAGAAAACACAGGCACACAACACCAATAGCACCCAATGTTTTAGGTCATCTTCAGACTGCTCAGAAAGCATCATTCAGCAAAGGCAGGGAAAAAAAACCCATGGCCTTTAAAAACTCTAAACACTGGAGAGACTCAGCTAACATGAAACAGACTCTAACCAAGAAAGTCACAGAAGCAGGGTTTTGCTTCAATCACACTGCTGAAGAGAGAATGCAAATGGCCTAAATCAAACAGACTTTGATGGAAAGTCCTAGTGACAGGACAGTGTGCCAGAAAGCACGCAGAGGACTGGGGAGTCCCATAGCTTTGGCGTAACTGTATGAGGCAAGCAGGGCTCAGGGAGATACAGTGGAAATTTACATTAGTTGGGTAGGTACCTGCAGTGTGTGCCTCAAGGTGCCTGGGGGAGCCTTTCTTTCAGTCTATCTTCCTGCTTCCCCCAATTCTCAGGTTACTAACTTGAGGGTGCACTCATGTGCCTCGTGAGTAGGGCTGCAGCTCCACGACCCTGCTCCAGGGCCTGCCCGCAGCTCCCCGCTGCCATCACAGGATGGCGAACACGCACCACCTGCTGTGGGGGAGCAACAGGGACCCCGAAGGGAAGGAAAAACCTTCCCCCGGCTCCCGGCAGGCTCTGGCTCGGGCACCCCGCGGCCGACTGTGGCCGGGCCGAGACCCGGAACGCGCTGCCTCCGGGAAGCGGCGGCCCTAGCAGGCAGGAAGCATCCCCAAGTCCCAGCCACGAAGGGTCTCGCTTGCCTCAGAAGCGTCCCTAGGCACTCCGCACCGAGCAGCCCCCACCCCTGAGGCCTGCACGCCGCCGCTGCGCTGGTGGCAGGCACCGCAGCACACAGGCGCCGGCTGCCAACGCTGCGGGCGGGCGGCGGTACGGCAGAGGCGGCGCGAAGCTCTGGCGGCACGGTGCCGCATCGGCCCCATTCTCTGTCCGACAGACTCGGACAGGGAGAACT